TTGCGCTGAAATACTTCAGATTTAAACAGATTTGATGGAAAAAAAAGAACTATTAAACCTTGCAGCATCAAATTGATGTTGCCTGGGTATTTACTTTTGTCTTTCAAGTAATGACCAAATTTAGACATTCAAAATTGATTTTAAAAACTGCAATGACTTTATTTTAGAATGTGCTGAATTTTTAAAAAGGAAGCAAACGTATTTTTAAAGTAAGATTATAAGTGTTCTGTCAAGCAGTTTCCAAAATGACTATTTAAAATACAACAAATAATTTCATATTCATGTAATTAAAATATAGAAATTGGATTATAGCGTCAAACAGATTGTTATAGTTCGCCCTTTTCGTCTATAGTCAGATAACAATATACGTGGCAGATCTTGTGGTGTGCCAAATACTAAGTCCTCAAACAATCTGTTAAAATTACGTTGTGCACTAATTGTACTCCTATCTAAGAAGATCTTTGAAGCAGAATTTATTTTAAAATACCAAATTAGAAGGAAACTATTACCATGTCCTTTAGTTCGACATTTAGATGTATCAACCAGTATATTCATTTTACAATAATTTATTTAAGATTAGAAAAGATTGCCTGTGTTTTTTGCGCATGTAAACACAAGATTCAAAATTAATCAAATGTTAGATCACTCCATTCGTCAGATGATAGACAAGCATTTATGCTTACACAAGTCTCAAAGTCTAACTATTTTGATTGGCAAAACATTGCTGGAAGTAATTGTTCCATTATATCATTACTTCTATTGAAGCCATACTTCACGAACTCACATTATATGTGTTTTATAACTTAGGATGTCCCTACTCAGTATATCAGACTTCATGATGAATAATTATTTATTTACTCTAATCCATGTGATAAAAATGCTGTGAGTATAGTTATTACTAGTAATAATATATGTGGAAGTCAGGATGGTCCATTTTTCTAATTTTCATACCCCCCCCCCCCCGCTTGAAAAGCGGGAGGGTATATAGTAACCGTCCGTCCGTCTGTCTGTTCGTCCGTCTGTTACGCTTTGGAGTACCCATCTCTTATCCGCAACTTCTCTCATACCACTGAATGAAATTTGATGAAACTTTCACAGAATCTTGATTATATATTGCCATTGTGCACCTTCTATTTTACTTTTTGATCCGATACATATTTTGGGTTTCCCATAGAAAAACATGGACACTGCATTATATTCATGTGGGAGGAGGGGGTATCATTTAGTGAGCTCATTGCTCACAGTACCTCTAGTATGTTGAAGAAAAATATCTAAAATTTCATACAATACAAAGTAAAATCGAAAAAGTGAAAAGTACTTATTAATATACTTGTTAATTCTAGTTGTGGAATATAAGGCAACCATTTCCTCAATCCTTTCATACAATAGAAAGGAGCTGTAGTCCGTTGTCAACTGCATGGAAACATTGTGCTTCCCAGGTTTACTTCAAAGCTCAATCATATTATTTTTTGACAAAATATATCTGTGTTTGACAGTTTCAGTAAAATAACCACGAAAGCAACGTCTCAGAAAGTAATTACTCATAAGTTCAGCTTAAGGAGCTTCCTCTTTTGTAAGACCTGCGCAGCTCCCCAGTAAAAACCCCTGGTAATACTCAAAGACTGGCAGAAAAATGTCAACTGAGGACATGGAATACATGTAAATCGACATTATCAATGTATTATATCAGTCTATATGAGGAATCAGTGACAGCACCTCACAGTATGATTATAAAGGTCACGAGGCAGTGTAAAGAGGGATTGGCAACTTAAGGTTGTTCTGCAACAGCTCAAAAAGATAATATTTGGTAAAGTTATGTATCCAAGTTTTAAGATCATGAAACAAACACACAATATGCAGCGTAGGAAATGAGACAAAGACAAGCACTATGGCCCAGAAATCTTTTCTCTAATGTGTTAAAATCTTTTCTACCAGGGAAGTGATAATTACATCTAGATTAAAGTAGCTTCATTTGTTCTACAAATCACATTACAAGTCGAAGCAACGTAAAATCGTTTTAGTTGCGCATTAATGAACTGATGTGAAATCATAGTGCCTAAATCACCTCAAGGGAAACCGTTACCAGCCCTGATTTAACTATGTTAACTATGTAGACACGAAGGGCTAGGCAATGAGCGCCGAAATAGTAGGACGTTTTTATAGTGATGTTAATGATGTAGTATTGTACTGAAATGAAATTAAAAAAATGTAGTAAAGTGAATACAGTATTACAGAAAAATGTAATTATTTAACAGCTTCAGTAAAGCGTGCATCTTTTAAATCACATAAATTAATCAATGAGAGACATAGAGAATAAGACTCCCTCTTTAAGTCATATTAAACTCAACTGGGTGGCACAATTTGCCCCTACTAACCCATGCCATATATGATGATCATGTTTTGGATAAATGATTCCAATTTCCAGAATTTTCAGTTCAAAATTAAAGGAAAAAACTGGTTAGCTTTACATTTTGTAAATCCAGAAAAATTCATAATAATGACAAGGAACAAATGGCAGGTGTGACAGGTCGGCAAAGGATGTCCACTCCTCAATGGCAGCTGATCCCACTTCTGATGTTTTCGAGGTCAGTGTTTGTTCTGCTCCAATTTTGTATGATTTAATGGACTTTGTGCTTGAATACGGTTCGTCATTTACATATATTTCATGAAAACAAATTCTTCTGGTGCATATATTTTGTAGCCCCACTGTTGACACAAAGACGTAAAAAAAACTTGAGATTAATTTCAAAATGTTTCATTTTAAGAAATATATTAAGCAATACCAGACAGGAACAGAGCGAAGCAAACAAGGACTTCCAAAATATTGGAGGTGGGATCAGGTGCCATGGAGGAATGAGCATCCCCTGTCGACCAGTAACACCCGCCGTATGCTCCTTGTCATGATCAGGAAAAAACGTCAATTCAGTGTATAAATAATGGACTAAAAATTAGTATGAAAAACGTCAGTCAGCATTTGACTCATTGATAAATTGTATTTTCTGAAAAGGTCATTGTATCGACCATAGAACTTAGGAAATAATGACTTTAAACGAGACTGATGATATTCTCGTTCCATCAATTTGTTGGTCAATAATTTACCTCGTTTAAGAAATTGTTCATATGAAGAGCATGCGTATATCAACTGAGAGATATAAACTCCGCATGCAGGCTACGAAGGTACTAGTATATTCCTGCACAAGTACCTGGGAAGTAATTTATTTCCAAAAGTTATTGTTTAATATTAATTTTGCGGATTAAAGAAGATGCCGTCATAAGACAGTTATGCCCTTACGTACGAATAATATGCCTTTAAATACATACACCCTTTACGTTTCAATACGAGTGAAAAATTCTGAAAGGGGAAGTTAAACAAAAAAACTTAACATTGATACCATGCAGGATGGAAATGAAAATTCTGAAACCTTTTTATACGATTCCTGGTAACCAAATTCATTATTTACAAAAAAATCCCTCCCCAATTACTATTACAATTTAAACAGTAGCCAACTCATCTTTTGGAATATGATTGCTGGAATCTTGAAATATTCAAGAAAGATTAAAAAAAAAACACTGGGATCAAACTGTGTTGAAAAAAGAGTATCCACAAAAGATTATTTTTTTTCCAAAAGGAAAACCTTCGTACAAATCTTCAAGACATTCTCAACCATACCCCAAAGGATCATTTTGCTCCTTAACCAATTCCCCTCCACCCTATAATTACACTTTCGATCATCACCATAGGGGCATTTGTAAATACTAGTAATAATCTCGTCTTTTGATAAAACCCGATTTCAATAACTTCTTTACTTTTCTGTAGAAGCCAACTCATCTTTCGGAAAAGATTGGGATGTCCTGTAGGTATATTATAAGGGTTCTAAATTTTGATTTTTTTAAATCTGGAAAAGATGGCATATTTTTTCAAACAAAACGTGGGTCCACCGACTTGTCTCCCAAACCTTTTTTTTCAAATGAAACATGAAGATGAACAGTATTCAATATCAAATTCCATAAAACAATACAAAATAGGAGCAGAGCAAACACGGACCTCCAAAACATCAGAGGTGGGATCAGATGCCATGGAGGAGTGAGCATTTCTCGCCGACCGGTCACACCCGCCGTAAATGGTAATCTCATAACAAGGCTTTATGATAAACACGAAGACTTTAACTTTTCAATGCCAACTTTCCTGACTCACGCAGCAACTTACCATTATCACCGGGATTTATATATCTCAGTTGATTCCATACGCAAGAGCATGCTGTACGTATTAAAATTTGTAAAACGAGGTAACTTATTGACAAACAAGTTGATGAACCAAGAATATTAGCAGTCTAGTTTAAATTAATCATTTCGTAAGTTCTATGGTTGATACAATAATCTTGTCAGCAAATACAACTATCATCAAATACTGTCTGACGTTTTTTTTATACTTAATGTTAGACTGTACTTTACACACCGAATTGACTTTGGATTTTCCTGTTATTGCCCGATTGTGACAAGATGACAAGTAGCACACTCTGGGGGTGACCGATCCGCAGGGGATGTTCTCTCCTCCATGGCATCTGATCCCAACTCTGATGTTTTAGAGGTCCGTGCTCTCTCCTGATTTGTATTGTTTAATGTCTTCTGAGACTGAATACTAGCACTGTTCGCTATCTCCATATATTTAATGCATTCCATTTCTTTTATTCATTTTACTTCATTGCATAATCTTATTAAAATATGTGGCATAATTAAACATTTCTTTCCAAGATTGTGTTAAATGTCACGTTTGCTAATTTTCTAAACAAATATTTAATTTTTTTTTATTTTCTAATAAATTTTTTCATGAAAACCACTTTAACTGCATACAAAAAGTACTAATTTGTCAACTAAGTTTATTACATAAATATTCTAACATTCAACAAATCTTATGTGTCATTTGGAGATTTAAGAGAAACATGAAACAAAACGTATGTGCCATTTTGCAAATTTAAGACGTAAAAATATCTCAGACATTTTAAGGACAGTTTAATGTTATGGATGCAACATCAACCACGTGATACCTCTATACGGAACAACTTTAACCTCGACAGACTCTGGAGATTAAGATCGTGGAGTAATAATTCAAGGGTGAAGGGGCATTATTGAAGCAGGGATGCCTTATACTTTCAAATCTGGTATGATGTTTGTTGCGAGATAAATTTGTTTGTAATGATATGTAATCAAATGAAATGTTTTAGATATTATATTATATTATCAAGAAGAAGAAGAAAAGTATTTGACCTTGAATTACTCTGAAAATAGCAAAATTCCAAAATTTTTATAGAAATTTCAAATCAAATATGATCGACATTAAGACAGAAAACTCTAGTGGAAATAACGTTTAGCATTGACAAAAATAAATGTAAAAGATAAATACACATTAAAGTGGACATATAGAGTTGAAAAAATATTGAATTTTCTTACTCATTACACACGAGAAATAGAGGTCTTTTGGCTACTCTTTCCGGAAAGCATCCGTGAGGATTCTATTGACGAGTCAAACATAACTCGAGTATACTTCTTTTTGCTTTTTAAACAAATGCATTTTAAACATTTCTTGAAATTTTTCCTGAAATTCTGACTAAATATGCTATACAAGATAGGATTTGCAGCTGAGTTAATATACGCAATCACGTGGACTATCGCTACAAATTCCCAAGTCTGTTGGAACTTTGTGTTGGAGATAACATTGTAGAAAAGCAAGACTTGGGGCGGGGCGTAGCAAACTGTGTACACTATTACGCTAGCCGCCAGCATCTTGACGACACCCTTCCTGGCTTTAATGGTGTCGCCTGCTCGGTCAGATTTACAGCCCGACTCCTTCCTCATCTGGAACTTGGTGTGAAGCTCACTTGTGCTGACGTACAACCGCTGTCCAATAATCGCATAAAGCACAATTTGAATACAGACAGGAATAAAGTAGAACAATGCAAATTCTGAAAATTTGTAAATGTGCTGATCGAGCATGTTCGGAAATGACGTCAAGCATAACGAGAAATTCAGAAGAGGGACAGGGATGACTCGGTTGTACAGGGCAGTTGGTAAGCCATACATTATGCCGACGGACCATATCAATGACACGACTATGAAGTTCTTTCTTCGGTTACACAAAATCTGGGCTTTGATAGGAAACACGATAGCCACAAATCTGAAATAAATGAATACAACACATTACATGATATTTTAATACTAGTAATTAAGACAGTAGTGCAGTAAAAACTTGTCTTGTGCACACGGTTGACATTTTCGACATACCTGAATATAAATGAATATCAATGGTTTTAACTGGAATAATTCGGATAACTCCAAAAAATAGGGTTAAAGCATTTTTGTATCATTTTATTAGATTCAAATTTAATTTTTACATCGTGAAAAAAAAGTAATTTGCATTTATTTTGGAGAATACATGTATTTCAATTTTTGATGTTTTTTTTTAAAATTATACTAGATTTTAAAAGATATAAATTGACGGATTGTGAAGAATGAAAAAAAACCCCAACTTTTACATTAAAAAGAATTAAGGATTAAAACAAAACCTGTACAAACTGTTTTATAAATTCTATAACATTTTATATTGATATTCTTTTTCCTTAAACAATTAAGAATGATTGAAAAGATTAACTCGTATAAAATTTAACATAAATAGAATGAAAAGGGTGAAGTGAAACATATGGAGATAACGAACAGTATTCCAGATCAAAAGTCAATAGAACAATACAAACTAGGAGCAGAACAAACAAGGACCTCCAAAACATCAAAGGTGGGATCAGGTGCCACGGAGGAGTGAGCATTGGAAATGACGGAAAAATCCGTCGTCAATTCAGTGTATAAATCAAAGTACTCAGAAGTACAGAGAGCCGGGCTCATTTACAGACTGAGTAGAAGGAATTTCTTACATGAATCACGTTTATATTCTGATGAAAAAATTATTTTAAAACTATCAGTATCAATGATAAGACACTGACAGTGAGTTTTTCAATCCTAATATCACGGTCCTAATTTGTCAGAATCAGAATTAATCTGGTACCGCAGCTGAATGTAAATAAACAGGCCAGTCTGGTTCCCTCTCCTGCTTTACCTTGTATGTGTAGAGAACTACGATAACACTGATTATCAAAAATTCTTACGCTAATGAACTATGTTCTTTGACTTAGGACTGAAGTTTTCAAAGTCATTACTACTCATGTTTATTTATATAGATAAAACTTCGTTTTATTTCTGTTGCTTTCTTTAGCGTTTTTATTATCTCAAAAGCGGTTGAGAGTAAGAACTATATTTTTGCACGTAACTTTAAAATGGCGACTATGGGGTTGACTTCCTGCCTTGAACAGGATGACATAAGTCGGCAATTGCTCTTTGAGCAATAAGCCCGGCTAAAAATGGAATAACAATGAAAAACCTCAGTCAGCATTTGACTCAATGACAAATTGTATTTGCTGACAAGGTCATTGTATCGACCATAGAACTTACGAATTGATGACTTAAAAAGAGCCTTCTGAAATTCTTGTTTCATCAACTTGTTTGTCAATAATTTACCTCGTTTTAGAAATACTTTATACATAGAGCATGCACTTTCGTATCGAATCAACTGAGATATATAAACTCCATATGCAGGTGATGAAGGTATATTGCTGCATATAAAGTAAGGAAAGTTGACGATAGAAAAGTTAAAGTCATCACCTTTATCATAGGACTTGGTTGTTAGATTACCGTTAAAGTCTTTTTCAAGGAAAATATCTAAATATGAAACAGATGTGTCAGACTCTGTGGTATCTTTTATCTCAAGCTCATCAGGATATATCGTATCGTCATAAGAATGGAAATTACCAATGTTAATTGACAGTACGTCGTCGATATATCTAAATGTCGAATTGAAGGCAACAGCAAGTGTTTCCTTCTTTTCAAGCAAAAAGATAACGAAATATGATCAATCTTAAGAAATCTATGAACAAAATTTTGAAGAAGGCATAAAACACAGGCCCAAAGAGGTAGGATCATATTTCTTGGAAAATGAACACCTCATGTTGACTGGTCACAAGTCACGTGAGCACCATGTAATGATCAAGTAGTCAAATTCGGTATAAAACAAAGGCCTAACAATTGGTATGAAACAACTCAGCCAAAATACGACCCACTGATTGGTTATATTTGCAAACAAAATCATTGAAAGACTACATAATTTACGTTTTGCTTATTTTAAGTTTTTGAAATTCCCGCAACAGTTACTTATTTACAGGTCAGTAACCTGCCTCGGTTGAATAATTGATCGTGTTCGTAGCATTATATCGAAAACCGAAAAAAAAGTTGGGAGGTGTAAATACCATGCAGGTGCTATATAAAGAAGGAAAGTTGATGAAAAATAAAAAAAAAAGAAATATAGGAATGCAAACAATGTTTTACAGTAAATAACTGTATTTGCATTTCACCTGAGAGAGCTCTAGTAACAGTCACATTCTGTAACAGAGAATACTTTAGAGATCATTTTAATTCTAAATATATCATTTCAGTTAAAAAAAATCATAAATATTTTGTATGTCTCTTTCAAAAATAGAAATTGGTATACCAATGATGAAAAGAATGGAAATAGGAAATGAAATCATTTTAAGCGTGAAACTCTGCAGCTGTTTTTAGACATAATTATCGAGTAAACACTTGGAACATATGCCTTTTGTAAGCTGAGAAGTTTTATTTACATTGACCCACCCCCGGTAGAGCACTAGACATAGCTTTATAATACACACAGTGGTCTTTCACCGACTCATTTTCTCCTTGTCAGGAACAAAAGATCAAAGAAAAGGGATCAATTAGTTTGATGCCATGCAGATCTTGAGAATACGAACAGCACTCAACTGAATGATGAAGTTTAACTCAAGATTTCTCCAATTTGGGCTCTCTAATATAAGTTCTTCTGATGATCTATGATCTAAAGCGCTCGATACCTGAGAATCGTTTCGATCTCAGTGATCACAGTTTCAATATTTAAACAATGATGGAAAAGTAACCTTTTATTAATTGGGAATTTTGATTTAGATGGTTACTAGAAAAAAATCCTAAAGAATATTTGACAGGTAAATTTTACTTCAAACAGGTTTCAGAAAATTGTCAAATGTGCAACTCGGATAGGTGAGAGTTTCAATTCAATTTTGCACTAGAAAATCTAGAAAGTATTTCAGAGAAGTAAAAAATCATCAAAGGGGAATGTGAATTGGAGAGTGTGATCGAAATAGGTACATAATAAAAATATTTAAAATTCACAGAAAGTCTACTAGTCGTAAAGGTAGATATGATTTGAAATGAAATATACAGAGATATCGAACAGTATTCCAGCTCAAAGGTACATTCAAATAATGAGGAAGAGCAAACACAGACCTCCAACACATGTTAAGTGGGATATATAATCATCAGAATAATTAAAGATTGTGTCTCAGATTTGTGAATTTGATGTCAAATACTTACTAGCAAATCATCCAACTGTGTTTTTGGATTTTTAAAACTTTTTTTTCAATTCTGCGGATGTCAAGTAGAGTACGTACCTACCTTAACGTAATCTAGCGAAACAGACAGCAAATGTTGTTCATTAGTTGGATACTGAGTATATCCATTTATTATTCTTGAAAATTATTAACTTCATTATTTATTATATCTATTCTGAGTATATCCATTTATTATTTTTAAAAATTATTTACTTCATTATTTATTACATCTATAATGAGTATATCCATTATTATTCTCAAAAATTATTATAATTTGCATGAACAGTAACAGCAGAACGTAAACACAGCGATATTTAAAAAATGATATATTTGGAATTTCAATTTTATAATATATAAAAAAGTCAGCAACTGTAAATATTATAAGTGCAGGAACAACACAGAATGTAAACAAAGCGATATTTAAAAAATGATATATTTGCTCTCAAAAAGTACAAATTAATATATATCAAATGGTGGTATAAAAGGAAAAAGTGAAAAATATAATCCTCTTTAGAAGGAACAAAAAAGTGGTATTAATATTGTATTAATATTGTAGTAATTAGCCTTTTGTTGAAAACGTACAAAGGAAAATATTACCGATATGATATTAATTAAATGCTTTATCTATACTTTATCGAGTATACATTTCCTATATTTGATCAAGTAGGCATTTTCTTTATCTATATTTTATCGAGTAGACTTTTTCTATATTTGATCGAGTAGGCATTTTCTTTATCTATATTTTATTGAGTAGACCTTTTCTATATTTGATTGCGTAGGCATTTTCTTTATCTATATTTTATTTTTTTATTTGATCACTATGAATCAAGATCTGAAGATATCCAAATCTAAAGTTACTAGAATAAAACACAGTTTTTATTTTCAATGTTTTTGAAAATTTTATCAAAAATCCCCTGGGATTATCGTGAATTACTTATACTATACATTGAGTTATTTCCATAAATGAGGATGGCACAAACTCAAAGTAAATGGACTTTTAAGAGCCCTTAAAGCTACTTCTACCAGCAATTAATGGAAAAATAAATGAGACTCATGACATTTTTTCTTTTAAATTAAAGGTTCCTATAAATCACTGGTGTATTAATAGAGGACAATCGGAAATATTACCGATACTTTGATCTCTTCATTTTTTTTAACAAATGATGGGTCGGAAACTTCGAAATATAAATCTTCATTGAATACTGTACGCTTCTTCTGTCTTGCGCTAAAATCATCAATGATTCATGACTTCGTTAATTAACCTACTCTTCTTTAGTTACTTCCTGTTTCAGAACACTCTGCAAGTTCAAAATCTCTAGCTTTGATACTTTGTAAATATGTTCATTAATTGTAGAAATGAAAAAAATCCCTTTTCTGATCAGTTGAATTAATTTTAGTTATTGTGTTGAGTCTTTTCTGAACTTTTAGTTCGGCCAAGGGTGGAGAGATTTTAGCTTGATATGAAATGGAGTTTACGAGCAGTATTCAAGTTAAAGGTCGATTGAACCACTGCAAATAGGGAGCAGAGCAAACACGGATCTCAAAAAAAAAAATCAGAAGTGAGATCAGGTGCCATGGAGAAGTGAGCATTCCCTGCCGACCGGTCACACCCGTCATGTGTCATGATCGGTAAATAACGGGAAAATCCGTCGACAATCACGTGTGTAAAATTATA